GTTGGACTAGATGACCCACAGAGGTCCCTTCCAACCCCTACCATTCTGTGATTCTGTGATGTTGGCTATGGGTCTGATTTGCAGTATTAGAACTGAACCCTGACTAATGATGGATTCAACAGTAATAACAGGGTTTAAACCTTTATCTTAATTATTTTGGCAAAGAATAGATTCACATAAATGATTTTCTCAGAAGACTCCTACTGTCTTGCACTGTGCCTGTAATTGGTTAAATCCCTTTTAATGCTGGATGCCACCTGAACCTAAAGCCCAGCAAGACCAGTGATATTTGTGCAGAAGCTAAGCGGGAACAAGCCAGTGTGCAGAATGATTTTGACAGAAAACTCTTGTGAGTTGCAAGGATACAGGAAGATCAGAGGTTTGTGATGGGAGAAACTGGGCTTAAAATGGCTGGAGGATGAGGTTAGGACTACAGCTTGACTGGAAACTGCTTTGTAGGAAGGAAGGGAGACAGATCTTTCTGACACCAGGGAGGATGCGGAGTAGGACCAGCTGGAGAAAGAAACAAGGACAAAATTGGTGAAGTCACTGAAGATGATAGAGAAACTGGAGTAGAGCAACAAGGACTGTTAACGTGGGAGATTAAGAGTGTTGGTGATCAAATATGGGGAAAAGGTGTCAGATGAGGCACGTAAGGGAGGCAGAAGGGCAGATCTTGAACTGGCAGGATGACGAAATCGGCCCATTGTACCAAAAATGCCTGTGTAAGGAGCTAGAACTGGAAACCAAGTTTAGATAACCAGGTATGGAGAGTAAGACTGGAAAATGATACTCATGTCCAGGGGCGGAGAAGAGACCAAATGAGAAGAGGGACAGATTGGAGACCATAGGGCAGAAGAGACCAAGCTTGCATTCACCGCAGATATCTCAGAGGGAAGCCTACAGCTTCTGTGCAAATGATTAGTACAGACTGTTCTGCTCTAAACCAACGCTGGTGAAACTGATCACCTCTCAGCTCAAACATGAACGAACTGGGACAAAGTTATAACAAAACATTACACAGAATGCAAAACCTAACAAAGTTTTCACACTTTCTAACTTTTGATTATCTGTGAAACTTTGATTTGTCTCTTTCATTAATTATGCTATTAATCTTCAATTATGAAACCATATTTATTTTTTTCCATAGGCTTTCTCTTATGATCATTTTAAATTCTTGACTTTGCCATCTCAGTAATCTTCTTTTAATACAATCTTCCTCCAATATGTAATCAAATTACACTGTAATAACAGATAAAAAATGCAGGCATTGTTTTAGTTGCTCGTTAATTGCTCATATAGTTAAAATGCTCACTAATTCGCACAATGTGGGTTCTGACAATGGATTTCATAGTCGTTACTACAAATTGGTCGGGTTTTCCTGTAATTTCTTTGAGTGGACTCTCATGATTTAACTGAGAACCATGTGAAAATTCTCCCAATTAGTTGAAGTGTCTAGGCTTAGGATGAGATAATGTGACCTGATTTTTTTAGCTCTGACCTCTCTGGAGTGTTTCAAAGTGTGTTGGGCGTGTAGTGTAATCTCTCAGTATCGTGTATGACTGAATGCTGGTCTGAGCTGGGCTGGTATTTTTTTATATTATTTCCCTTATCATCAGTCTGTGCTTGTGCACTTTAAACAGTTGAAGAAGTCTACAAATGTTTAGCCCTGTAAAATTCCTTCTGGCAGCCATCAAAGTGAACAAACTACAGGCTTCTCTGTAGTTCGTTGGAATTCACTCTGTACAGCATGAGGAGTAGAAAATGGCACAAAAGTAAGCATTTTCTTTTACCATTTTAATAAATTTTCTAGTAATAGTTTCAGCATCTTTGACTGCAATGTTCTGTGCTTCTTTGGTCACAAAGGAAACATCACAGACATACTGAAGGTGGGTATGATAGAAGAGGAGCTTTCCTCAGGCTCAAACATATATTTGCAAGAAAGTAGGGACATCCCTGAGACAAGATGTTTAGAGATAGTTGGTTGTTATGTAACACCAATGCTAAATACACACTTAAGCTTTGAAACTAGACAGAAAATGAGATTTCATACACAGGGAATTCAGATATCGAGCTTCTTTTTCCTTTTTTTTTCTTTTTCCAGTTTCCTTTTTTTTTTTTCCCCTCCAAATTAGGATGAAAAGCTGAAATAGTGATGAATTAGTGATATTTTTTTCAGTATTAATAATTTCAAACAATATTGATCTAGAACTGTGAAGAAGTGTTCCTCCATGGAAATTATTTTTGGCCTTTTTTTTTCACCCTTTGTAGAAGTTGTTTATTTCTTTTAGGAAATCATCTGTTAAGATAAAATTTTATTTCATGCTGAAAAAATGTTGTATCCAAAAATGTTACCTTAGCTAAACGTACACTAAATATGGAATTTTTGTAAAATATATCATCTCCAGTTTTGTATGTCCTTTAAACAGCTCACCATCAGCTATATTGAATCACTGATGCCCACCAGCGAACGCCAAAAGCAGCTGATGCGCCAGTATTGCTTTGAATGTGACTGTCTTCTCTGCCAGAATCAAGAAAAGGTGAGTTAAGTGAAGAACTCCCTTGCCAATGAAACAGTATTTTCCAAGGTCTGTCAGCAGCTTCCCCTCCTTTATGTAATATTTATCTTTTGCTGCTAATTGAATGGCCAGAATAGAGAAGAAAATGACCTCTGACCTCAGTGCTCTTTATGTTGCTATGAAAGACAACCATGAAGGAAAGAAAAGCAGGAAATGTTGACAACATAAGAAGAATTTCTTGTCAAAATGCACATTGTTCATAAGGCTAGGAACCACTTTCAGTTCCAAGATGTGGTTCAGATCATTTTGAGATGCAAGGACCGCTGAACATGAGGGTTAACATGACTTTAAGCTGAAAGGAAAGGATTTTTTTTTTCCAATTTGAAAAAGTAATCTTGGAACTTTAACGGAAACCGCTTGTCTGATGCTACAAGGAGGCTATGCTTATCCTCATAACAATGTTAAATTAATTCTCACAAACACCTGCATCAATAATTTTAAAGAACTACCAGGCATATTCAGTAGTTGCTAGAGAGAGTGGTGAACCTCCTTGGATGACTGTTTGTAGCTTTTATGCTCTCTTTCACAAGCTCTTGGTGTAGCAGGTCAGTAGATGTAGTAGCTAAAATTTTATTCAGCATGACCTTTTACTAGGGTTCAGCCTAGGCTGGTTTAATTATATTTTGGGTTGCTTCATATTTATACAACCTGGACAGAATAATTTTGTCTCCAAGCCTGATGAGAGATCAAATGGAATGTGCAAAACAAGGCTGGCTTTATAGCAGTTTGTGCATTTTGTCTCTGTAGTTACATGTACACTTGTTCTTTTTTTAACAAATTTCCATTTTAGGTGAGCCGCATGCCATAAGTAAATGTGTTCCCAGTAGATCAGAGATGGTAAGAAAGGTGTTGAAGAAAATGTGATTCCAATGAGCATGATATGATTCATGAAATAATTGCTGTACTGCAAAAAAGAAAAAAAAGACACCTTTTAAGTTTAAACTCTGTGTTGGGTTGGATGGATGTGTGTGTGTGTGTAGTTTTGTTCAAGCCAAGGTTCACCCATTGAATACATAGTGTATCCTTTGATTCATCAGTAAGCCGCTCAAAAAAGAGATCAGAAAAAGTTTCAGGCTTATGACATAATGCTGGATTACTTCCTGTCCATGTGCAGAAGTTGCTGGCATTCTGTGTCTGAGAAAGATTGCTGTAATGCTCTTCAGAGGCAGTGAAGGGAAGCGAAAACCTCTTTTTGTCTGTCTTTTAAAGATACTCACTCAAGTACCATGGAATCTTAGATTAGTTTGGGGCCATGGCATCCCCACAGATGCAGTGATGATTAAGAAAAATAAGCAGGCTAAAGAGTCGTTAAGGATCGCTTAATAGTTTGTGAAAGGGTAGACAAGAAGTGTAAAGATCATTCAGCATGTGGTATATTTTAAGAAACAAGATCCACAGGCTGGAGTACTCTTCACTCTAAGAGTCAACATACAACATCAAAAGATATTGTGGTGAAATTATATGTGCATATATTGAAGAAAACAATAGTCTTATACACAGGTGAAAAATAATTAATGATTTTTTCTCTTTGAAATTTTTAACTGTGGTTTTAGTTCATCTTCTATAGATCTTTTTTGCCCATTGGCAAAATTCTTTGTGGGGATGATATTGCAAAATGTTTGGAAAGCTTTTAGTGACTGCATTCTAAAATTCTGTTGTTTCCTAATTGTTACCATATAAAGAGGTCTGTGAAGGGCTAGGAACCTCATGTCAACTTTGTCTGTTGATGTCTATGCAGAAGAAATCTTTATCCTCAGCTTCAGTCTAGGATGATTAGATACAGTCTGCAGTAGACATCATGGTACTGGATTTCATTTCTCTGGGACAGAGATTTTATGAATACAACTGTTTACATGACTAACTTGGAAACATAGATATTTTTTCCCCCCCTGTTGATCTCAGCCACTGTTGGTAAGCTTAGAGACATGTAGTACCACAGCTACAGTGGGAGATATTATTTTCGGAAATTCTGTTTTTTTAAATGACAGAATGGCTAGGTTTAGATGCTTAAAAGTCACCAGTTGGCAAAATTATTCAATAATATGCCTGCTGAAATACCCCTGATACTGACACAAATTTCTGAGAGATCTTGGAAAAATTTTAGAAGGCAAAGTCTTCGTCAGCAGAATAGGCAATGGCTGCAACTTTGGGTCATCAAGGGTGGCAGATTCAATAAATATAATCAGCTAACAGTAAATTCACATGTTACAGCATTGCTTTGCAAATACGATGCCTTAGTCAACAGCAATCCATCACATAAGCCTTTTTTATAAGTAAAAATGCGAATTCCAGTTTGGCTAAGAAATGCTTTATGCCTTCAAGTAAATTTTTGAGTGTTGGGGATTTTTTCAGTTGTAGTCATCTCATCAGAAAAGCTAGAATCCTTTTTCTAAAAAACACTTACAGAGATCATAGCTTCTTGTTACTCCCAAGTTCCAGACTTGCTGAGTGTGCCTGACAGCTGCTGAGCACATACTAGAGACCAGTGAAAGCAGAGGAATCACTCCTGAGAAGCACACATCAATTTGCAGTAAAACTATGTCATTTCCATTGTAGCTTTTGTTCTATATCTTTTGTAATCTTTTAAAAGTGATAATGAGAATCCGGTGGGAAGTATACATTAAAGTTTATATGAAGGGCATATAAACCTTATATGTATTAGTACTGCAGTTGCATGTATGCTTATTTATTCATATTTATAAAAATACTTTGCAAATTTCTTTCAATGAAGTTCATGTCTCCTGCTATATTCTCTAAAGGCTTGTTCATTTAGTCTTATGTGCTCAAGTGAAGATGGGAGATGGTATCAAGTTTCTGTTCTCAAGTCAGTTACTGACTTTGTAAGTGACCTTGGATAATTCATTTTATTCAAAAGCAACCTTTGCCCGTATTTTTCATAATTAGTGAGAAGCTACCATTTCAATTGGAGCTAAAAAGATTTTTTACTAGAAACCAGACCAGTCTGTCTAAATTGGGGACCATTTTTGTGAATGTTCTGTGAAGCTCTGTTTTGCTCTGTTTCCCCAAATGCAGCATGAAGATGGCAATCTGTACTTTTGCTGGGTATTCTGATGTCCCAAGGATAATAAAGAAAGATGCCACATTTTCTAAGGTCTTTTAGCTTTAACTGCTGGGTTTTTAATGAGAATAATTCCTTGAAGTGGAATGGTTTGAGGGTTAGTTGAAATTTAGTTATGTGCTTTGTGCAGTTACCATTGCCATGTGGTATGTTAGTGCTGTAAAACAAACAAACAAAAGGTCGTATTTAACCTCAGAGACATCTACGTGAGCAAACAACAGATTTAGCCTACACAACGCTACTGATTTCTGCTAACTTTGGCTAGACATCTAATCTAAGACAGTTTTTAGCCTCCCTCCATACCCAAAGAAAAGACAAGCAGTTCATTCATACTGTCTTGAAGTAGAGATCTATGAAAACTGGAATGGATAAAAGACATTGAAAGAATTCCTTCAAGTAAATACCCACACTTTAGACAGATAAAGTTGGGTGAGATGTATTATGCTGCTCCATGAAGTGTACATAAACATAAAATCAAGAATCGCATGAGTATGTTTCTGTGCTAGCTGAGATGGATAGCAGAGTGCAGTTGCAACTCTCTAGATTTCAGCAAACAGCATCCAGATTGTCGGTAGAAGCTGTTTATGCAGATCACTTCAAGCATTTGCCTCTGGCTGCTGCTGTAGAGAAATATATCTTACAGCCAGTGTCACTGCTTCTTCACTGTTATTTGTGCTAAAATTGATTAAACTTGAGTAGAGGTTACATCACACTACAATCACACAGTTTAGCTATGCATACAAACAAGAGTAGTGTGTCAAAGTGCTCTTTTGCCATTTTAGGATATATCATTCTGTGTGGACTTTTTCTAATATTTCAGGTCTCTGATGAACTATGATTTAAGAGGCAACTAATCTGTGAAGAAATATTCTTTATTTCCATTTACTGTAATATTTCATGCCACAGCTATATAAAACAGCAAAATTCACTCCGACACCAGCAATGACTTTAAAATTCACAGTCACTTGGTCTTTTTAGCTAAATATGGCAACTTCATACAGCGTAAGAATCTTCTCTAACCACTCCCTAAGTATACACAGTTCACTTGCACAGTTGTCTAGATCTGAGACTGTAATATGACAAAAGCTGGATTTCCTGGTATACTTATGCTGCAGCCCAACCACAAGGACCCTGTTGAAGCTGAAGTTGTTGAAGTTGGGCATCAGCTTCAGCTGATGCACACTGGCACACTCGGTGGGAGCAGACACAGCCCTAGACCAGCTGGAGAGGTCCATGGCTGCACAGTCACAATTGCATTGCACATCATGGGAGCAAACATTCCTCACTGGTCATTGCTGATGAAAGGACTTCAAAGTGAATCTCTGCTTGCTATACATTAGTAGTTTTTCATCTGCCTCTCCAACTGTGGGCACAGCCATGCAATAATCTGGGCGCATAGCTGTCTTGAAGGATGAGAAAATATGAGGACAGACAGTGGCAACTAGCTGGACCTGTGGATCTCAGATCATTTTTAGTGCCTGGACCTCAATGTCGGCTGTGTTTTGATTCTGAGAGGTCATACCATAATGCAGTCTCTTTTAGCAACTGGTCAAGTAGCCTGGCTGCCGATTTGACAAGAGAAGAGTAACAAGTGCTAACACATCAGCATAAACCAGTTAAGATAAGATTGAGGTGACCCTTCTTGCAGTACAGTTACTGCCAAATTAAATGGCAGTAGCTGCAAATATAAACAATATTTTAAATTGATTTTGGCCCAGGTTGGAAAAAAAAATCAGTAACTAAAAAAGGTGGAAAAAAAGTCTTTCTAAAAGTCACTCATAGAATATTTTCTGACTGTAAGTACTCTAAGTTATTGCTACTGTGCTGTCTTCAGTTCATTGTATCTCTGTCAGCTTTATACATTGTTATTTGCTCCATTTTA